TTGTCAACAAATGACACGGATAGCTATATTACAAGGTACTATGATAGGTTAACATCGCCTGATCTCATGTCGAAAATGGTGAAGAGTGTGTGACTCAGGAAAAGAAAGGTAGAAAAGAAAGGAAGGTGAGAAATAATGATCGTATTTCAGTTAATAAAGCTATAATTTTCACATCGGTGGAGGAATTCATAGAGACATTAAATTCTATTATGATAAACTATTAAGGTTAAGATGCACTGATTACCTAGCATTGTAAAGTATGCGAGCAGACGAAATGGACACGAGCAGTGTGTAATCAGCTCCATAACCACACAGAGTCCCCCTTGCCAGACAAGAACATGTCTAGTCTTTCATCCACAGAATCATCACTCTCATCAGTTTGATGAGACGACTGTCCCCTTCTCTTGTCTCATTGCCTGATGTACGGAAGAGTATATATATCTCATGTTGTTTTATCAGTCTTCCACTAACCGTTGCTGACACTCACTCCCACATCCTGTTCATGAGTTACAGGAGCTCCAGCAGAGCGTGAACATAAAATAAAAACGTCTTGCGGTATGTATGTTGTGCATGTGGTGTAACAGTTTCTTCAGAGCCAGAGCACTCGTACATCGACAATCACGACCATCTGATTTCCTTCTCCAAACTCACGACAGCAGGAAACTGCTTCCCTGTCGATGAGATGCACTAAGTTAGAAAGAGCGATCTATAATTAAAGCCTATATGAACGCGAAGGCCGGCACCACTATACAATGAAACAATGCACTCGTAGTCTCGTAATATGCCAATCTCGCTGATGTGGATATGCTTAAGCCCACTCCAAACACTGTTCCTTTTTAACAAAATATGTACCACTTCCAGAAAGCATGTTGTAGTTGTCTACGACAAACACGAGTATCAGTCGACAGTCCACTGAGAGTCACTGATATAGTTTAGTTCCCCATGTTCGCCTTCCAGAATATCTCCACTCTCACCCCTCACAGTTGTGAGGGTCCTCCACAGACGATGTCACCTCTCTGTATGAGCCTTTAGCTGAGTACGCAAAACAGTCACAGAGTGCTGTGCAATCAGACAATCACATATATGCGTACCAGGTTGACATTGACTCCCACATCGAGAGAGTGGCTAGTTCTCTCCCACTCTCCTCTATCTCACAGTCAGTCAGACTGTACTCTGATCCAGTGCACTGTACAGAGTCAGGTTGACTGGTCTCTACCTTCACCAAAATAGGCACCAGAGTGGCCAGTAGCACCTGCAGGATGACAGAAAACATGAGGAATGCAAGTTAAACGCCTATTATGCTATCAACCACACTATAACTAGCTATATGCCACATTTTACTTCAAAGTTATCTGCCTTTGACATAGAGAGAAGAGCGAGCATGCAGATAGCATTTCGCGTCGGGCCATGGCGTGTAATAGAAATACATGTTACGTAATAGGATTTAAACACACCACTCGCGGCTAGGCCTACTGTGGCCTCCTCTAGTGAGATATTAGGGTACACCATACCTGAACCAGTGCATAGTATAATAATAATAATTATCTAGCAACAATAGCATCATGTTGTTATTGCTGATAGACACTGCTAGAGCTGTCAGTATCAGAGTGAAGATTCGCGGTGGCCGATGTAATGAACAACTCAACACATAAGTGAGTATTCACGCCCCTCCTTACATGAGTAAGTACACATGCATGTGACAGATAATTATGTGAAGGATGTTATATATACACGTACAAGACCAGACCTAATCAAGATGGTTATATCAGGTTAAGATACATGTCACCTCCCTATGAGACCTCTCATTGACAGATTTACATGAACAAGTCCCTCCTACAAGAGGCATGTTAGTCAGCGAGAGACCTACAAACATCTCCAGTCCCTCCATACCTCCATACAGCGACAGGTATGATGGTAAAGGACTTACATACATTAACATGTCCCTCCCTAAGACTAGATACGCCCATCAGGGATGCATTGTACATGACATCACAAATATCTTGCACGTAACATAATAGTGGCAGACACTCCCTCATCAACATTAGTTACCACAACAGCCCCAGTAGTACATGTGTATATACAAGCTCTGAGGCAACAATTAGGCATTGTTGCTTTGTAGAGTTAGGGCCTATTAGGTAAATAAGTAGGTCCTGTGTGGCTGTCCTATGTGTTGAACCCATACCAGCTGAGTCGTCCAGGTAGCTCAGTTGGTAAAGCACTCGCCTAGACTGCAGAGTGCCATGGGTTCGAATCTCACTTCTTGTTTGCTTCACCTTTGCCTTGCTACTTCACCTTGTTGTTGACACATGCATTATGGAGTCGGACGTCTTTGTGTGGTTTTATTACCCCGTTCTGCTAGTGAGATTTTACTGACCCAAAGGACAGTGGTTTGAGGTTTGCCTTTGTATGAACCTCTACCAACTGAGTTGCCCTGGCAACTCTTTTGTTAGAACGTTGCCTACACTGCAGAGTGTCGTTGGTTCGAATCCTACCCAGGGCAGCTCGAAACAAGAGCTTTCCTGGGTGTAATTGACTTGCCTTGGGCTTGCTACCTCACCTCGTTGTAACTACTCACACAAAAATACTTCAAGTGTAAAGAGCAACACAGACCTGGTCTGAGTGGCCCAGTTTTCGACAGACTACTACAGCATCATCATTAGTCCAGTCAGAGTCAGTGATGGTACCCCATACTCCAGACATGTAGACCCTCCACTCTACCTTTCCCACTGGTAGGAACCTCCTACCAGACGAACATCTCCTTCACGATAATATTGACAATCTGCACAGTAAAATGAGTCACTGATACAGATAGTATATACACAATGAAGGGGTCAAGAGATATTACATGTCTGTGTAAATAGCAGTAGAAAAACAGGCAGAAAACTCCAGAACATCATGATGCAGCGATGCTTTGCCGCAAAGTTTGTTCACAGAGTGTCTTTTACTTTCTGGACCCCAAGGATTAGAGTTAAAACGATGAACCTAAAGGAACAATGAGTTAGTTTTATACCCAAGGCTAGCGCGCGGCGTGCGCCAGCTAGCTATGGGCTATAGGCATGCACTGTCATAAGAAACGCCTCAAAACATCATAGTGGCAGTCTATAACTCATCAATATTGGCAGCAGTATTTGCTAACATGATAAACACCTGTCAAACCAAACTTGGAGATGTAATATGGAATGCACACATGCATAATATTGAACAACAACTAATGTTTAGCCAGCGCCGAAATACTCCACTTGCGCATATCCCACTAACCTGCAGCTAAAGAGATTGGCTTGATAATTGTACTACTGTGCTGTTTTCTGTACTTATAGTTTTGAGCGTGCACGTCTGATGTTCGTGCGACTTGACTGCATTAGCAAAGTATTATTGTGTACACATTATGACAAAGTAGTACCACACTAAATATAGTACATTGAAGTTCAATACTGTATCATACTGTTTCCCCAGAATAAGTCTTACATTGTGAAACATGCACTTAATGTCATTGTCAAAAAAAATCGAGTCAATAGTCCTCGTCTGTGATCGGGGACATTCATAATGGCCTCTGGGGAGTCGAAGGTGGACTCGGCTGTCTCGTGTTTGGCCTCTACTGCTGGACGTGGTGTTGAGGCTTGGACCAGCTGTAGGTCTGGAGTTGCCACCTCGAGCATATCGAGTCGAATCCACTTTCCGAGGCGCCGCTTTTGCCCTGTTTGGTGGTCGTTTCGACTGTGGTTTTGGCGGAACTGGATAACGATTCAAAGTGTCCATTTCTTCGTAGCTCTCGGCTGGGAGTCTTCCATTGCCATCTTGTTGTCCATCGCGACTGTTCGGTTTTGCTACTGAAGGCGATGCCAGAAGAGCTGTATCGACCACCAGTATTGGGATCATGGGTGGAGTGATGAGGTAATCCCTATCAGAGTACAAGTGAATTGTTATCAGCATTGACTCTACTATGTCGAAGGTACTACTCTAACAACAGTATTAACCCCACTACATATAAGTGGATTGCTACTATTCCCAAGGTATACACATACTTCTGACATGCATATTAAACCCACCACAAACATGTACAAGTAGAGTAGTGACCTTACTATTTCCAACGCACATACTTTCGAAAGTCACATCAGTTATATACATTGTATTATTGGGGGTAACCTCGCTGAGTGTACTGACTGATGAAAATGTCTGTCTGTCTGTTTATCTATATATGCAGAGTGGACTAACTATCTCTCCTCTTTCTCCTCCGTTGTAGCACAAGCAGAGCAATTAAAACGGCAACCAGAGCATAACCGCCACAGCCAGGATGACGGATATCGACAGTGAAGCCATCGCCACACTACTTGCTTGTGCAGAACTCTCCTCACTGCCACAGCTGATGCTGACGTCCATTGTAGTGGTAGGGGAACTCGAGTAACGGAAATCCTGGTAGTCACAGTCGACTACTCTCTCCTCTGAGCCATAGCAGCCAACCACTGTCATGAATGTTGGTAGCGACTGACTTATAATAGCGCTGCTCTCTCAGTTATGGAGGTAAGAAACATCTGTGTACAAAGCAATCGGCAAAGTTGGGTGGGTAGCTATAGCAATAAAAAAAACTGTAAAACTATTGGATCAATACCTGAAGTAGAATGGCCAAGTTGTTTGCAAGCCACTTCGGTGTCAGTGTGTGTCCATCTTTCTCCATTTATGGTTCCCCATCTGTTCCCAAAACAGACTTCAAGTCTTCCTTCTTCTTTTGTATTACCTCCAACAAGTCTCAGATCACCATCTCCACATGCAGCTGCGATCAAACTTGTGAATATAAGCAAGTTTACCCAATGCTAATCTATGCATACGTTCTTTGCACTTGACAATGGCTCGACGTTCAATCTCTGCATAGTCATACGGAGAGCTCTTTTTAAAGCCGCAGTCGAGTAGCGTTAGGTCTCGACGGGTGCATCTGATGGTGTGGTAGTGCAGTGGTTTAGATGGAGCCACGGGGGTGGACTGGTTAGCCGGCTCATCTGCATTAATTGAAGGGAATGTGACAGTACGTAAAGCTAAAGAAGGAAATAGGGCCCCAGTGACAGAATGCAGTTTCTAAGGTTAGCCTATGCTGCTATACATTCCCATACACATGAAAGATTACATTAGCCTGCTGTGCATGTTCTATGCCACCTAATGAAGTGGTTCCCCCAGAGGCACTATGAACAGCTAAGCTACTTGTTGTGTCATATCCAAGGGCATTGCAGACAACATCAGAGTTGGTCTGTGTCCAGCCATTGCCTCCAATGGTGCCCCATCTACTACTGAGACACATCTCCACCCTCCCTTCAAAATCACTCTCTCCCTCCATAACCTCAACTCTCCATCAGTACAATATGCTGTGGAACATAACGTCTATGACAATGCAAATGTGCTGATAAAATGCATGTACCGGGACGGCAGTATATTCCCACATCGTATTCACTAGATCTTGATGCCGTCTCATTAAAGCTCTGGCACTCGGACAGTCTCGACTCTGATCCAGTACATCTGAAGTACTGGTTGAACCTGGGTCCTCCACCACCTCCAAAGGATGTTAGACTGTTGCCGTAACCTGTAGAATATTTATTCCAAACTTCAGTCTGCAACCTTAACTTAGTACGTAATGCCTGGCTCACTGCACACATTATTAACCCTCAGCGCGCATGCGCAGCGAGGGTTACGGTACTTGGTCTGTCGGTCTGTCCGCGCGAGTTCTCGCACTACAGGCTACGAGGTGGCCAATGAGTGGCACCAACGGGTTGTGAACAACGAGAAGATGGATACGAATGTGGCGCTTTTCCTGAAACGACTGCGTTCCAGAGATATGGCGTGAAAACAAGCGAAAAGGCCAACGTGCGGTCGATCGCGCACCCTGTCCAGCTGGCTACATAGCGCGTCACGCGTCATGTCAATTTTCGCTGGAGCATGCGCTACGCCACGTTGGTTGTACCATCTACGGGCTTCCGTCAGTTTTGACCTCTGTTCTCAATGGATAAACATGCTGAGCCAAGGTATGTCTGCAATGCAGCATAATAGTTGAGGTGGCGAGCAGTTTGTGGATGCAGCCATGCCTTCCCATTTTAAAAACGTCTGGCGAGAGCATTGAAACACAGAAGAGCGGATAGATTGAATAGAGCAAATATGAGAGCCTCTGAAACACCCGAGCAATTGCTCTAACCGCTAATGCAACTACCCTGTGTTACAGCGAGACTCGTGGCTCCGTTGATGACGCATGGCCCAGCGTACAACTCGCGCGTTTAGCGCCAAGGGTTTGCACTTTAGTGCTTTTCATTCTATGTAGCTCTAATGAGATTCCATGGATAATAGTAGGCACCTCTGAATCCGAGTTCAACGCAAGCAACCTTTGCATTGGTAGCAAACCAGTTTGAACTGTAGAACGTGTTCCATCTTTGATGGGAGCAGATCTCAACACGCCCATATGTCACTTCTGGCCTATCTGTCAGCCTCAGCTGCCCATCAGAGCAACGAGCTAAACAATCAAAAGTTGTAAAACCTTTGTCATAAACATAATATTTGAAGAACCCCTCTCTCATGCATGACCGCCCTGAAAAAGGATACCTCCCCATTAAAGGGCACCTTATCTTTCCCTAAGTACAGTTTCTTTCAACCAGTAAAATTGAAACACCTCACTGCTTCTGTCCCACTGGTGTCTGGATTAAAACTCACATGGACCCAGAGCACCCACTACGGAACGCATACGAATAGGAAAAAGACACTTAGGTAGGATTCGAACTCGAGACCTCAGGTATTACACTCACAACTGGCTTCTCGCATGTAGGGTAAGCTTATTTCATACGTTATTGTGTGCATAATAATCTGAGCCCCAAAGAGCTGTGGCTGAAGTACCTGGCTGACATGTCACTCCAACGTCACTATCATGAGAGCACCCAGAGGGGTGGGTGAAATGATTACACCATCTCCACAAACTTCCTTCCAATCCGGTACAGTTGATGTAGTCAATGAGTACGGTCCACTGCCTTTCCCAAACTTATCGGATGAAAAATACCTCGATTCTAAAACCCAAAAAAATTAGGTTTCGGTATAATAGGAATACTAATGCTTAACTTACCATTGACAATTTCGCTGAATCCAAGGTGTTTACAGGCTACAGCTGTGCTATTTTCATTCCATCTATTGTCACAGACAGTGCCCCACCTGTTGTCGATACATAGTTCTACTCTTCCCTCTGCTTCAGTTCCTCCATCTGCTAGTCTCATATCTCCATAACGACAGGCAACTGTATTCATATGGCAAAAGGGTAAAGTTTCATATTGAGTTTTGTGAGCAAGAGCGAGCCTACTGTTATATATAGCACATGTCACAGTGTCTACAGCTAGCACTCAGAAAGTCACATAACTAGATATGTAATGTTGGATCTATGGCTACCATATGTATGTGTGCTCTTCCAAAATGATGAGCTAGTTAGTTGAGCTAGTTAGTTGAGCAAACACTTTAATGACTTCAGTCTATCAGCAGTTGCAGTAGCAGATTTAATTTGACAAAACACGGCAGTTATATCACTGCTCACCACCAAGGCATTCCACTCCAACAGTCGGGTAAGAAGATAAGAGTGTGAATGCATGAACACAGCTTTGAAGACTTGATTCATCTCCGCTACATGTGACATTGTTTATTGTGGTCACCGGAGGGCTTGGAGAGTATGTATTATGCCTGTAAAATGACGATGAATCTGGAAAAAAGTGTATATTCCTGTAGTTATGGAGCAAAAATAAACCCAGTAAAACTGACCAGTAGGGTAAGGATCAAATCCAAGTTCTCTGCAAACCACTCTAGAGTTGTTTGATGTCCATGTTGAGTACGAGTTGGCGATGGGTTGCCACTGCTCTGACAGATACACCTGCAACTGCCCACTACTGCCCCCATTGAGACGGATATCCCAAGGATCTTGTCCATCTAGTGGGGCAAAATAAAAGCTGCGTAGCTATGTTCCAATAATTGATCTTATTGACCAGTGGTAGGTGGTTGCTATGTTTATTGTGCTACTATAAATCAGCTAATGCACCAACGAGGTGTGAAGGTGACAATATGCACTGTGGTTATTGCTTATATGATGGCTATGAGCGCAGTGCAATAGAGCATACTTGAAACCTACTTGGTATCCAGCACAATTCCCTATAAGGAAAGCAAAGTGGGTGTTGATTAGGAAGTATATAGCTCAGCCCTCTGACTCAGCCCTCTGCTGTTGGTGGTAGTACAGCTAAGTGGGTGCTACTACTGGCCAATACCCTATAACATGCTGTTGCTGGGGTAACATATACCAAATCTGATGCATCATGTGACATTAAGACATTATCTAGCACTGTGGAAGGAGGCAAAACCCGGATCACTGGTGTCTAGAAAGTTGGGGCATGCTACATTTCGTGAACGCATGTGTCGCAGCAACCCGGTGAGCAGCAGATATATAGTTTTTGGAGGATACTCGGAGCCGTCTTTTCTTCGAGTCTCGGCTACATAATATGTAAACCACTTACTAATTTCTGCGGCATCTTTTGAAGCCAGGAGATCTTGAGGCTTGTCCCTGAACGTAGCATTGCACTTGTCCCTCCACGACAGATAGTTGATGAGCGCCCACTTTGTACTACTTTCCGTGTTCTTGGGAACGAACTTCTTTCCCAGCGTCTCAAGTTTAGCACCGCTAACAAATTCAAATCGCTCTTGATCCTGGGCTCTACACTTCCCTTTCTTTGCCAGACTCAACCTCAGCTTCTTCTTGCTCGAGCGGGATTGATCTTCGTTCTCAGCCTCGCTTTCTGAAGTCCACCCTTCGACACTTACGCAAAGAGGGCTTTGAGACCTCTTTGCCATGACTTGATAGAGCGCAAAGCAAGGAGAAACGCCAGTGGGAGCTCCGTACACGAGAAAGCGCAGCAGAAAAAGACACGAAACCACAAAAAGAGGCAACGGCAATTGACGTCGTAGCACCTAGCAACTATAAATAAACTAATTAACACACCTTTTGTCGTGTTGTTGCGGTTTACAAGGCCTCGCCCTCGGGACGTCGGCCTTGTAAACCAGCAACAGTACTCCAAAAGGTGTACATAATGTACATCTATATAATTATAGCAACAAACACACGTTCCAGCATAAGCCTTAAATGAAATGTGGCAGTATAATATTAGGGTTAAATTAAGAAAACGTGTTACCAAAAATTTGAAACATGATTGCATTCTTGCACTGGGTCCTATTGTTTCTATTAAGTACTGCCACATTCCCATTAACAAACTCTCTAACCTATGGAACAGAAGACACCCCAGTCACGTGAGTGAGAGTATCTCGTTTGAGAGACGTCCCTATTATAGCCACAGTCAATTAGCCTGAACTCCCCTCCTCCACAACTTCGGTACAACTGAAAATGAATTGGACCAGTTCCTTCTCCAAACACAGAACAGCACCTCTCCCTAACATCTAAAAGAGAGGTAAAAGAGAGACAATTATGCTGGTCTAAATTAAGCTTAGCTAGATTATATGGTGCCAGGATAGCTTATATTGAGAGTTTACAAAATCTTGAAGTCAGTGCAGTGCATTGGCATGATTTTCTGACAGGCACAAGCAAGGCTGGCATATTATTACACCTATTAAACCTGTCACCAAATTCCTTATGCACGAGTGAGGAAGTCAAGTGCAAGTTCAAAGCTCAGAACACCACTTTTAAAAGCTTCCATCGCAGACTCATAACACTCTACTTTCCATATATCACATAAACCAAGCACATTTCCTACTTGCTACCATTGGAGCTCAGCAGGACTCCTTACCTACAGTTACTCTGTGAGATATACAGCATAATATATTGATATTAAGAAGCATACCACTGACCTTTTACACTATAACCCAGCTGTCGACAGACCACTACTGCATCAGCAGTGTATGCCCGATAATCATACACAGTCCCCCATTCACGAGATAAGAATACTTCAACTCTGCCTTCCCAGTGGTTGGTCCCCCCAACCAACCGGATATCTCCTTCGCTTGTATCGTTTCCTGAAAGAGAATGTGTGGCACCATAGAAGGGCAAAATTATGTAACTGTTATGAAGGGGAATGTAGCTATAGGTAGGGGCTAAATGTAGAAATGCTAAAGATACACTAAGCAATTTTTAAATGAAAAGCACTAAAGTGCAAACCCTCGGCGAACTGCGCATGCGCGGTACTGCTAATGGATGGGCTGGGCTATTTTACTCACGGTCTCCCGCTAGTAGCTCGCGGAGAGTCTGACACGGGCTACCCATGGTAGTAGATAGCACGCGGGAGTCGATACACAGCCTTCGCTGTGGCTTCTTGTGCTCCAATGTACACAGAGCAAGCGGATCAGGTAGAGGTGAGCGAGCATACTGCGTTGATCACACGCTTGCACACCGCTTATTGATGGGTTGGGCCACGCAACGCTGTCCATGACCGTGCCAGTTTGTCGCTCTCGAATGCAGTCGTCTATTCAGCAAAATCGCCATTTAATTTTCTAGCCCAGCTAAAGCTGTTGGTATCGCTCATAAGCCGCCTCGTAGCCTGTAGTGCGAGAATAGTCGTGGACACACACAGAGAATGACTACTGTAACCCTCGCTGCGCATGCGCGCCGAGGGTTAATAACAGTTTCTAAATTTAGCACCACATTCCCTAATTGCATTCTTGAACTGAGCCCTATTGTTTTAGTAACATTTTTAAAGCCCTTATGCTTACCTTCTTGACATTGAACTAGTACATCATACTCATGGCTTAAAAGACTGTCAGTGTTCATTTGATAGTAACAAAATTCTATTCTGGTCTCAGATCCGGTACAAACTACTTCAGTGATTAGGATGGCTCCTGACGCAACCCCATAATTATTGCAGCATGGGATAACTGCTCCTGTACAATAGAGAACAAGAACAAACAGGTACCTATCTCATTGTTTACACACCCGGATTCGTGCATCTGGTGCTATCCTGAATTATACCTGGTTTCTGTGTCCAAATAATAATATTATAGCTACCTGATTCACTAGAGAGAATTGAAATCTAATTGCATCGCACTTGGCAAGCTAACCTAGTAGTCTGAATTTCCCCCCCTATATGCCAGTGCACAAGTATTGACATTAAACATTCCTCTCTCAATTTTAGCCAGCTCCCGCTTGCCAAGAATGTACTATAGTCATGTAAGGCTATACAGTGGAACCTCCGAACAAGGGACACTATCGGGCAAATGATTTTGTCCATTGTAGAGAGGTCGTCCCTATCTCAGAGGGTCCCTTATCGGAGGTTCCACTGCGTGTATGTACCTCTGTCTGTAAGACTATGTATGTATGCACCGCTGTCTGTAAGACTATGTATGCACCGCTGTCTGTAAGGCTATGTATGACCGCTGTCTGTAAGGCTATGTATGCACCGCTGTCTGTAAGGCTATGTATGCACCGCTGTCTGTAAGACTATGTATGCACCGCTGTCTGTAAGGCTATGTATGCACCGCTGTCTGTAAGGCTATGTATGTATGTACCGCTGTCAGAGTGTTTGAGTTGCTTGCAAACGACGTTGGCATCAGGGGTACTCCACTGAGAGTCACTGACAGCTCCCCAGGTTCTGTTCCAGACCTCCACTCTACCCTCCCAGTTGTGAGGTCCTCCCACCAGACGAAGATCTCCATTTCTGTACGAACCATCAGCTGCGGAAAAAACCAAGTCACTTTTACAAACATGGATGGGGGCCACCAACAAATGACATGGTTATGCTTAGCGAAGATTCCATTATCTGTCATAGAAAATGTTTGATGCAGGAGCTATATAATATATAGACAGTGTTTATGGTGGCACAAAATGCAGGTGCCGAGCTCTCCAAGTATGAGAGGAGGGATTTGGCGTTGCATTTTCACTAGAGTTTGGCGGTCAAATGATGTGACGACTTGTGCCATCCCTAAGTTGTACCTTGTTTCAAAACCACCTACTACGCCATTTCCTACATCTATGCCCACTTACAACAAAATATGGCTTGCGCTTCATTGTACATACCAGGTTGACATTGGACTCCAACGTCCATAGAGTGACTAGTGCCACTACCAGAGCTCCCTATCACACACTCAGTCAGGTTGTACTCTGACCCCGAACACTGCACAGAGTCCAGGTTTATTGACCCTTGGCCCTCTCCGAAATAGGCATTGGAATAGGCCCTGGCACCTGGGGAACATAGAGGAAATAGAAAAGAACAACTTGCTGTAATATTCATATCTATGGGAAATATATTATGTACTTTGTTTTTACTGCAAAGTCACTGTTGTGATAGGTGCACATCTAATAGGGTTATATAATCGTTTACCAACCAAAGGAGGGAGAAAGTAAGTTATGGAATGAGGGGCAAAGTAAAGCATAATGGCCTACAGGTAGACCAACCTCTAACTCGTGTGGTGTGACCATGAGTCTGTGCAGCATGCTACAGAGAGAGTGGGTCTAACAGGCTAAGTTAGGGACCCTGCACTAATGATCGACACAAAATGTAGCTATGCATGTTTACAAAACCTATATACAACAATAAAACAGTCAAGATGCCTCTTTTTCCTAGAGGCAAATCAGCAACACACTTATTGCATGTACTCTTTCTCCTAGGTATAGTGACTATCAGACTGCACATTATGAGAGCATCAGGCATGTTTACCTATCTTGCTGCCAGCAGGTATGCCCCTGTAGCATTCGGTTACATGGCCACCCTGGCTGCGCCCACAATTATAGCAGCAACAGATGTTACTCACTCTACCTGATTCCCCCAACTACAGTATACATACTACAAACATACACTAGCTAGCTTTACTACAGTTTTCATATGGACGTTTGTCTAGAAATGCTTCTTTCTCAGGCTAGTATTACTGACTGTTATCTACTACAGTGCTGTGAGTGGATGCACAAGTTTTCATGTGGTGTGGGCAGAAGCATTCACTGTCACTCGGAGAGTTCGTTGGGGAGTGGAGTAACATTGACCTACATACACAATCAAGTGTATGTGCATAATAATAAAAAATATTAGAGGGCTTATTCTTCTGTGTTTACATTGCACACCACAAAACGTTGCAGGAGACAAAAGTCTCATGCTGCACTGCCAGAATCTTGGAGATCTCCCTAATAACAAACAATGTACTATAAGAACACTTTGTCTCGGGACTGGCATTATGATAGGGAGGTTGTACAATCTACTAGAAAACAGTTTGGGACTTCATAGAAAACTACCACTTGGTGTTGGTTTTCCTAGACAGCATATTATATGAGGCTGTTTTGTGCCTGGAAATGAGCAGGGTTCTGCAGGGTTCTGCAATAAGAGCTCATCCTACTGTAACACGTTCAAAACCAGCTCAACCGTGTTCTCTTTACCCAAACCTTCCAGACTATAAAGCCAAATCAAATGCAACACAGGCAGCATCATTTGCAGCTGTAAAATACACCTCATCACAGTGCCTTCACACCTACTCATGCCATTAGCACGGTGTGTCTTTGCCTGGTTAGCATGAAGTGGTCATGATTGCATTATAAAGAGCCGCGCCATTACTTTGCCTGCCAGTAATTTGTCACAATGAAAGCAACAAACACACTCAGTAATAATTGTGTAGCTTAGTCTAGAAGACAAGCATTATTCTGTGGTTAAAAACGAAACTCAGTTTCTCAACAACTGAGAAACTAATGCACAATTATTATGCATTAGCTTTAGCTACCTGCTTTGAAGTGGCCCAGTTTTCGACAGACTACTACAGCATCATCATCAGTCCAGTCAGAGTCAGTGATGGTACCCCATTCTCCAGACATGTAGACCTCCACTCTACCTTCCCACTGGTAGGAACCTCCTACCAGACGAACATCTCCATCACGATAATTTTGACAATCTGCAACAGAGGATCGAACATTATGCGGAAAAAATAATGCTTCAGCCTACGTGCGGGTGCAAACAGCTCCATGAAAACAGGTAGCAACAGAATCCAGGACCTCATCGTGCAAGCGATGCTTGGCAGCAACACACTGCAGGGCGAACAGACACTGTTGATGGCTGCATGCACTACAGCAAGCTGCGGCACAAGCACTACTGATCGATCTATAACCGCAATCGAGGCTGCAATCACCCGGGCCGCTCGCGCTCTCCGCGCCGCGCGCATAATGCGCATGCGCTGTAGCACGACAAACGCTAACCACACACAATTATTCGCTCTGTTTGATCAAGTGCGGAGGTTTGTCATAGAGTTTGGGTCTAGGGTTCTTCTTCAGCTGCTTGTATCTCTTCATGGAGTCTGTATTTCTCTGCTTGGCTTCAGCAATGGCCATACTGGAGTTGTAGCCTGCAAAAACACACATATTCAACTGAAACCAGTGTTCTCAACCTTCATAATTGTCTAGTCTTGGAAAACAAGCCCAGTGATTTAAAAGCTAAGAGCTAAGCATAAAACGACCATAAAAAATAATGTGAATGCATCAAGAACAAAATGTAACAGAAATGTTTACACTATACAGTAATGCTTGTGTTAGCGTAATTGTCTTTACGGTTTTCTTTCCAAAAACTATGGCAGTTGTTATTGGAACGCTAACAACTTCAAAACACATTCTTTTCTACCGCTACTAACTTTCCTTGAAGTAACCCATGAATCCTTTGCTCTGTTCCTGGGCTTCAGGTGGGTGCTGGATCATTTGAGGTATACCGAAAAACAAACGGACCTTCTTCATTTTCAGTAACAGTATCTGGCTTATTGAGATGAATGAAGCTGGTAGCCAATACATGAAGAGCCCCTGGGGAAAACACACAGCACATTGCAGTAGAATAGATAGTCTTATCACTAAGTACGGTAGTACTTAGTATAATAGGGATGACACAGGTTGTCCTGCATTATGCCCATACATTTGTGATTTTCATGTTTCACTTTCAGTTCCAACTTTTGACACAAACCGCCAAAAAGGACCCTCTGTATAAAAGGACACCTTTACATAATGACACTTGGTTCTAATACATTATACTGGGACAAATGCAAAAATGAAATTTGAACTGCTGCATGTGATGTTTGTTCATATGCATTGTCATGTAGACAGTGGTGAGTCGGTTACATCGTCATCAATTCAGACGACTAGGTAGGCTCACTTCAATCACCAGTCAAATGTTCCAAGGTGTCCCTTATTTAGAGGTTTCCCTGCGAATTAGTACACAACGTATTATTGCGACTGGGCAATACGGAACAGTATTATTCCCTTACATTGCTAGGGGCAGTTCTTACAGTTGGGAATGATGCGGTGATTGGTATGAGGATGATCGGCATCAGTCGAAACACGTTCTTCAGTCGTGCGGTCTGGGGATTCCCCACTCCTGTCTCCCCACCCAACTACACATTCACACACACACACGAGAGAGAAAAAACATGTTTTTTCCTGAGCTTTACAAGCCACCCACCCCACCTCACGTCTTCCATATAACATCAATTGAAACTTGTCAATACATTCTTTCTAGCACTAAGCTATCCATGGGCCTTATACACAGGAGAACACGTTTGCAGCATTGAAGAGCAAACTGTATAAGCTACACAGACTATGACGTATTGCATGGTAACAGAAGGTAAGTGTTTACTCACAGTCAACTTTACATACCTCCATACTCGCACTACAACTTTACATACCTCCATACTCGCAGAGCAACTTTACATACCTCCATACTCGCACTACAACTTTACATACCTCCATACTCGCACTCGCACTACAACTTTACATACCTCCATACTCGCAGTGCAACTTTACACACCTCAACAAAAGACCCACAGACCAGCAAGCACAGTACAGTACATGGATCAGTCACAGTTACAGTGGGGGAAAGTGTACAAACAAGTAGAGTTGTTGACTCACAGTACATTACTCTACATACCTCAATACTAGCTACAAAAGACCCACAGGCCAGCACTGGTAGTACATAGTATGGATCGGGCACAGTTAGATCAGTGAACCAGAAAACACCGCCGGTTTTCATGCTCTCCACTGGTACAGCAGCCATCCGCCGAATGGCAATGAAAAAGCTGAGAAACAGTGGGAGTTGAATGAGCGGCATTACGGCCATCTTGAGTGGGTTACAGTTGTGTTTCTGGTAGACACTCCATATCTTGTGGCTGTACTGATCTGCTAGAGCCTTGTTACCCATCTGTTTGTACTCTCGCTGTCTCTTCATCAGCTTGTGTATCTCCGGGTTGATGTTGTTCATGAGGACCCCGTTTTTCTGGATTTTCATCACAACTGGGAATATGACAATACGGAGGAGGAATGTACTGGCCACTATAGCTCCCCACCACGGAAGACTGGCTTGGATGTGAATGGATTCTATCATGTACTGAAGCAATCCGACTGGGGTGTTCGCACAGAGGCCGAGAGAAGCCAAGTCACCCTGTGGAGGTAGTTCTGTGAGAACGTCTACCGCCGCATCCGACGCCCACTTTGCCGGAGCGGAGATTCGAACGACGACAGATCGACGCTATTACTGGACAAAAGGGGTTCAGTTGTAACGGACGGGGCTTGCAAGGTTGAACTATCCGGTGTATGAACATCCTCAGCTGAGCCAGTGTTATTATAGAGTCCAGTGCTGGTGCTGAAATGTCTCCGAACAGACCTCGGACTATTGGTCAGCCCAACCCGCGAGAGACTTGGGATATCACCCCGTTTAGAAGGGTCAAGTCTGAGACAGTTTCTGAGACTAATACGGGTTGCTGATGGCCCTTGGCTTCTCAGCTTGAGAGAATACAGTACGGACGACGGAACACTTGATCCTGGACGCTTCAGTAGAAGAGATACGGCCGACATGATGCAAAATACTCCACAACACTACCACGTGGACATTTTAAAATTACGCATAGCTCTAAACAACTGTCGCATAATTAGAGCACGCAGAGGAGCACCCCCCTACGCATGCGCGAAAAATCCTTCTCCGTTACATAATACAGTGCCTGCACAAATACATTAAAAAAAGTACAGTCATTTGATTTTTGAGCTCAGTGCAACAGTCACAGCAGGAAAAAGGTGCAGTAGATCAAAGGTCAAAAATGTGGCGTCACTTCCTATATCGATCCTAAAACAACAAGAAAAAATCTCACAATTAAGCAGAATTATATACGCCTCATGTGATACCTGAATAGTTTCAAACATGTTGTTCGCCACCGAAGACAGCTGCAGGAAAAAGATTGCATCAGTAGAACCTCCAAATAACGGGGCACATTGGTACATATAGGGTATTATGATAGGGAGATTGTAAAATGTACTATATTATAGAAAACGTTTGGGACCTAAAAGTGTGTCCTTTATTGAGAGGGTTTCTTGTATTGCATCCCTCATTCACATCAGAGGTTCAATACTAGTGTGCATACAGAGACAACTGGTGGTAGGAATAGAAGGAAAAAACCTTATACACAAAATTATGTAAGTTCACTTCATTTCTTGTCAATTATATATACTACACTTACAATGTCTGTAACATGTATATATATTATATAGTCATATTATACCTTAGAACCCAGGTTTGCCATGCCATCCTTTAGTTGGGAGAAGTCCGGACCTTCAGCATCCTTGTCTGCATGCAGAAAAGCATTGTTGCAATACTCCTAATAAGGGACACCTTTGGGAGGTGACCCTTATTAGGAGGTATATATAGTAATGGGCAAAACAAAGTGTCCTTTGTAGAGGTGTCCTTTATTGGGGCGGGTTTTTCCCCGACGTTTCACTGTATCATGTTCACGTAAAATCCAGGGGGTTTAATTAGTCACCATAAACCCTTCCTCTCCAGAGGGTGGTGTCTGGGCAGAACACCAAGTGAAAAGGAGAGTTTATGTTTTTTTAAGCCATAACTTACCTTTTTTGGGATTGCGTCCAAAGTAGTCGTCACTAGAGATGGCTGAGGATCCAGTGAACTGAGACAACTTAGCACCACCCTCCTGTGTGTGCGTGCGTGCGTGTGTGTGTGAAGAACACATTTCCTGGGTGGTTGACTTCCTAATTAATGGACGTAACTTACCAGTAAAAACACCCGCAGACACAGACAGGCCGTGCGAACGCTAACTAAACTACGCGTGTGCAATAAACCGTAACATTCAATGTAAATATCTAGCCGTAAAACGTAACACTTTTGTCGCTGCTCTTTATGAAAAAATAGCGTTTTCCCGCCATTTCTCTATTTTGCTACACACTTTTCTCTAACTTCCACACTCAATAGTCTCAACTCTATTTTTAGCCACATGTTTAGGCTTCTCCTTACGTACTTCAAGCTCCAAATCCTTTAACGTGTTGCTACATTTAAGCCTAAAAGAGTCATTCTTTAAAATGTATGGTAAGAGTCATTGTTTTAGTGTAAGTATGTACGTATGTATGTAGTAACCGAGTCATCTGCAGAAGATCTCCCGAAGTACTGGTCTGAAGAGATGGATTTGGCAGACGAGAATCTCTGCTGAGCCTCCTCGGAATAGCGTCCTCCACGAGACGGTCTACTGTAACACACATTACGTAATGACGAAATCACCATCAAACGATACCAATTACACAGGCATTACGTAATGATGACATCACTCATCAAATAGTGGAACCTCGTTAAACCTCAAAAAGCCGTATTAACGAGGTTCCACTGTAAATTTGATGTCTCAAAGTGTGTCCCTAATTCACAAGTTACAGTACATAACAGACACTATGGAGTATAAATAAAATAAAGGTCATATATACAATAATATGGAAATGAAACAGTTTCTGTTGCATAAAAAAGCTTGGGTACCACAGACTCACTTGCTAGAGCGCGAGGCTCTGCTACTGTCACTCCCTCCGCTCTGAAAACTGCCGAAACTGGACACTTTGGACGAAGGTTTTGGCTCGCTGCCGGCTGAGTCTGCAAAGGCACTGTGCTTCCCAAAGCTCCTCGAACTGCCGCCACTTGTCACGCCTCGCGACGAGCCGCTACTACTGGAGTAGTCAGTGTAGCTGGGAGGGTAGAAACTAGGGAGGGAGGAGGGAGGAGGGAGGAGGCAGGAGGGAGGAAGAGAAGAAGAGGAGAGTAATTGAAATGAAGCAGAGGCACAATGTATCATTGGGAACCCAGGCCTTCCTGTTTACAAGTTAATTTTTCATGCCAGTGGATTTTTGCGTGAAATATGGTTACTCATCTTAAACATGGAACCCTTTGGTTCCAAGGCTACACTCAGAGAACGAAAGTAAACACGAGAAGTCGACCAAAATCAACACGACGTGTACACAATGTAAGTTTCTATATACCTGTCAAAGAAATCCTCATTCCCTGCTCCATAACTGAAAATGAAAATGGGAAACAGACATTCAATTATTACATCCAAACACTTTATGCGTACAAGGTTTGACTTTGTCTTGTATTTCCCTCTCTTTCTACATAATCCACATCAACAAGCACACACACACACACACACCTGCTGTATTTGTGAGAAGATCTAGGGGCTGTGAGGTCATCCACTCGACTCTGCGTAGTCTGCACTGGTCCAACCTGTATTACGTCATAAAACAGCGTGAAACCTCTGAATAAGGGACACCTCGGAGGGGGGGGGGGGAACATATCAAAAGTGTTTAGAGACATCCTTTATTCAGTGGTGTATAGTACGTATGGGGCAGAACTTAACAACCAAGTGTCCCTTACAGTGAGATGGCCCTTATTCAGAGGGTCCCTTATCAGAAGTTTGACTGTATAATATGTTGCAGTGCCCAGACAGGACAGCATGAGCCCTGTAAGGGCTGTATAATATGTTGCAGTGCCCAGACAGGACAGCATGAGCCCTGTAAGGGCTGTAATATGTTGTCTGGCTGAGTGCCCAGACAGGACAGCATGAGCCCTGTAAGGGCTGTATTATATATGTGTGCAGTGCCCAGACAGGACAGCATGAGCCCTGTAAGGGCTGTATAATATGTTGCAGTGCCCAGACAGGACAGCATGAGCCCTGTAAGGGCTGTATAATATGTTGCAGTGCCCAGACAGGACAGCATGAGCCCTGTAAGGGCTGTATAATATGTTGCAGTGCCCAGACAGGACAGCATGAGCCCTGTAAGGGCTGTATAATATGTTGCAGTGCCCAGACAGGACAGCATGAGCCCTGTAAGGGCTGTATAATATGTTGCAGTGCCCAGACAGGACAGCATGAGCCCTGTAAGGGCTCATGCTGTGTACTGCAACATATTTGTTGGATATCCCTAGGCAAACGACATGTATGAACCCTTCTTGCACATGTAGGATTGTATAGATCCCTAGTACCTAGCTTCATACATGTCGATTGCCTAGGGATATCCAAATTATACAAACATTACGGGGGCCTCTGTTACATGTTCACCACTCCAACCAGTACTCATTGTATACAGACCTGGCTAATGGTGGCCATACTAGCTGCTGCAGAGTGGCTCTGTGACCTGGGACCACAAACAAGAATATACATCATACTAAGGCAACTTACTCTCCTATCATTTCCACACCTACAAGACACACATTTCAATAAACTAAGTAATGTATGGCAACAACATCAGACAGAAGTCCAACACAGGGACGTGATGTAATGGTCAATACAATGCAACAGGCAACCAATGTTCATTTTGTACACTATAATAGGTTGGTTTTATTAAAGGACATACTGCACATTCATGTCCAGTTGAAAGGAATGCCTTTGATGGCAATGCTGGACATCCCTCCCAAGGAAGCAGAAAGTAGAGACACAGAAGTCTATGATGGCAATAACACCTCGCCTCTTGTCATGTTGCCTCGTTTTAAAATCTCCCCTCTCTCTCTCTCTCATTCCTCCATCCCCCAACTCACCCAACTCTCCCCACTCCCATCCCCAGTCTCTCAGCCTGTCGGGCCTTGTTGGGGTCCGCCATCTTTGTCTCCCTAAATCCCATCTCTCCAGGTCCCTCCCCACCAATTGGGGACGCCAGCACCTCAGCAGCTACACACAATATACACAAGTGTCCAGTAATGCTACTACAATACAGGAAGACTGGCCTCAAAGGACTAAGGTGTACGGTAACAGAATACATTGTCATTGGTTACTCAATGGTATAGGGTTAGGGTATTGAGGTACATATAAAACAGGATTCTTTTTTGCCATCACCTACAAATGACAACCTGCAAGTGTGCAGTGGGGTAGACAGATCAATGACAAGGCCAACATTATGTACACGTCGCAACTTCCTTTAATGAAAAGTCTCAGAAGAGAAAAGAAGTTTCTGTTTCAAGATCTGTCTAAACGAGAAGCTATGAACAGGCACACTGATCATCAAGGCCTGGCAAGACAAAAGGCACAGAAGGGTATGATTGGCCCATGCGGATATTGCGTGCAATAAACAACACTTCCATGCAACGTTGTGCGCGGACCACCATACCCATACATTCTTGTCTCACACAACCAAGTTGTACCGTGCCTGTTGCTTTCTTTGTTACACAACACACACGCAAACAAACACAGACCTCTCTGGTCTCGGCGTAGATGCTCTGCCTCTTGCTCAATCTCGGAAAAACTCTTCTGAATTTTCTGAGCTCCCAGACCCTTCCTAGCTCCACCAAGCTACAGAGGGAGAAACAAACACAACTATATACACTCGTAGTATTATACCGACATCCAGCACATTTCTTGAATCAGCGTTCTAGTGATTGACTATACTGTGACCTACTTGTACAGATATCGAAGGACAGGCAACTTGACAAATATAATTATGTTGCAGTGCCCAGACATTACAGGGCTCATGCTGTCCTGTCTGGGTACTGCAACAGATTTGTTGCCTAGGCAAACGACATGTATGAACCCTGCTTGCACACTTAGGATTGTATAGGCCGATACAATCCCCCAGTACCTAGCTTCATACATGGCGGTTGCCTAGGGATATCCAACAAACTCTCATTCAACTTCAAATGTATGGGTATGATAGACCACGCAACAAGGCTGCAAAAAGCATTTCCAGGTGCATACGTATTTAATTGCTGGTATGCTGGGAAGGAGACTCACCCCTGATTTCTTGGCCGGAGCTTTCCTTTTAGTTATTAGTGAATTCTTTGGCTCTGCAGGGGTTAAAATTACAGTGGGAGAAGACGTGACCACACACACAGCCATTTACGTTTGCACGCACAGCAAGGCTGGCGTCAGAGTGCACCGGAGGGACAGAGTCCCTTTGGTCTCTTCATTTGTCCCCTGAATATGCTTCGCAGCTGGGAACACACCCAATTATTGGGACCAAAGAAGTAGCTAAATTTGGCAATAATTTTCGTCTAGAAAACACTGCATTTGTTTGTTACCAGGTTTGAGAGAGGCAGGTGGAACAGTGGACGATGGAGATCGAAGCCCTTGAACAGTCGGCTGGCGACTGTCATCAGTGACATCATCGCTGACATCAGATGATGTCATCGTCTTAGTGGTGGAGACTGACATGGTGGACATATCCATGAATAGATCTAGAGAAATGGCAATTGTAGCAGAAACTATTCGCGGTAAATCAGAAAAAAATACGATGCTTTACGATTATGATAAGTGAATTAAAACTAAAACATTTTTACAAAATTTCATTACTGTATGTTGTTTCCTTTTTGAGTTATGGGTGTTGCATCTGAAGAAGAGAAGATGAACAAAACTCCCTATCATAGCCCCATACATCTATGATGCTAGGTACCATGCCCATCCCTATATACTAAGTAGCTTCAAATTCAAACCATTGGGGTAAGGATGTATTTTGAATAATACATTGTTTTGTCTGTCCAAGGAAATCAATTAGGCCAAGTATATATTATTACAACCTAACGCTGATGTATTTAGTGGTGCCTATGAATACTGTCAGTTCAGTCAATAAGGCTCCAATGTACTATAACAGTCACTGCCACTGTTATTACACATAACATAACTAGAACATTACGCCGAGCAAACGGGCGCATGGAAAATATCAGTTCCCTGCATAATATAATCACGTACGTTAATTATTAGGGTAAGTGTTACAACATGGAAACATACAGAAGGTAGATTGCTTCAATCGCCAATTGTACATTTGTAATGGCAGCAATAAAAACTGGAGACTGATGAAAGAACTGCGGCCGTAAACAGTTACGTAGCACATTGGCTAAACTGGAGGAATTTGTCACCGAAAGCACAAGTCATTGTGAAACAGAGAGAGAATCTTCCCTAATCTGTAGCTTTCACAATGTGTAAAGTTTGTCCAGTCTCACAGGTGTACTATCTCCCTAAGAAGCTACTGCATGTCTGCACACACACACACACACTGACAGATGCAGCGTAGCTATACACTATGGCAAGATGGAGGATTTGCCATAAACCAACTACATGAAGCCAGGGAGCCAGGGGTAACTGCTTATGCATATCATACCTATGCAGTATAATAATACACCACATTCCCTTTCCACTTGGACTTGGTTACTCAGTAGTGTTCTGAGTATTGTAATGGTGAATGTTTAATACTTCACCTAGGCAACAACATTATAGGTGTTAAAGTTTTGGGATACGAAGTTCGTGCAGTTAAACCAGTGACCTTAAATAAAGTATACACTCCACTACACTCGCTGGTCACTGGGTCTTACACAAGAAAGAAACAGACTCGTACGTATGTATGTGACTGGCCTTCAAAAGGTGTTTCTGTCAATGAAGTTTCGAAGAAATCGTCTTCTTTGGACATCGTCTCTTCGGCAGGCGCGTGGAGATGTAGCTTTAGGGCCAGGCAGAGGCATGGGAGAGAGAGAGAGAGAGAGAGAGAGGGAGGGGGGGATAGAAAGAGAGGAAGAAAAAAGGAGGAATAGAAAGAGAGAGAGGATAAGGAGGAGAAGGGATAGTCATTATACCACAAAAGTAGAGAGTAGGAAACATATGGTTTCCAGTGGGCAGTGGGAAAAACACACTTCTGGTGGTTAGAGAGCATCTGCCTTGCCGGTGCTCCACGTGGCATATACTTACACACAATCATGGATTAAGTACTTATAGGGATGAGCATGGTATATACCTAGCATCACAGATGTATGGGGCTATGATAGGGAGTTCTTATACAATTGCACCTACTCACTGTATACCTCAGTGCCGTATTTCTTCTGTGTGCTCGAGGCCAACCCGCCCAGTTTCTCTCTGTACAGCTGTGCTGCTCGACTGTTGTACTTCTGATGTGGCCTCCTTTGCCGTGCAGCCATGCTGTCTGAAATAGGCCGTCTGAATAGAAGGAAAAGTTTCACAATTTTGTAAAATTCCGAAATATTATTTAAACTTGTTGCAGGTGTGCCTTTTCATTGTAGCTGTTACACTTTACGTTCAGTTTATTCATAGGTGTATATGCTGTATACCGTACGACACAAAATGACCCCACAAAGCTAAAAGTATGTGTTTACTCGGTGTATATAGTAGGCTACCTATGGAGAGTAGCTAATTGGTAGTTCTGGCATGTGGAGGAAGTTGGGAATTAGTGCTAATTGAGTACAGAGGAAGTGTTAGAGCAAAATGTGTGTGTTCTTGGGGTTGGAGAAGTCTCAACTTCATATGTATGGGTATGATAGACTCATTGCATGCAACACTTGCAACTTCAAAAGTATAAGTATTGTTGCATGGACCCATTATATCTGTGTATCACACGGCTACCATCTCACTTACTGCTGCTGCATTGCCACCGACTTGCATGGCACGCAGCTGCAGCCAAGTCCACGAGTCAAGTTGAGTGGATCTGCAACAAAATGAAGAGCGCGCTAACACAGAGAACCAATTAGAAAAAGGGCGCTTAGAGATGTGCTTCTACTAAGGTGCGCTTTATTTGGAATGTAAACACTATCTCACCTGACGAAGCTTAGATGGACGCCCAGGGAGCGGTGAGCGGCGGAGCAGTCGATACAGATGAACACTCCATGTGTTACTGACGCCCACGTCGGATTGCTGGCCCCGCAGTCGAAACATGCCTGTCAAAAAATGAGTGCAGACATGTTACCACCGCTGTCCGTTACTTCAGACTTTGAAAAACACAGAACTATTATCACAAGCTCCGGTTTAGATAATCCATACCTTCTGTTAGACACGGGGGGAGGCACGCGCGGGGTACAGGCTACATACGGTGCCACGTGGTGGTTGGCAAGAGGTAAAGTGGGACAATCGTCATAGGATTCTTCATGGACCTCTAATAAAATCTCTACTGACGGTTTCTGACTTACTTTGTTGGGGCCAATCCCTCGTAGTCGCTTGAATACTTGAGATATCTCACCCTTTGTCGGTTCCGACATCTTCCTTGTTTTGGCGCACAATTGGGCGCATAAGCGCGTAATCTATAACACATGCGCATGCGCCCAACGCTTTGCGTTTGTGCGTGCGCGCGCGCGCGCAGAGCTAGAGCGCTAGTCAGCCAAACTTCGGTTCGATTCGGCCCCTGTAAAAAAGGTCTATTTACACGGCGAGCGGACCCTAGGTCAATCGCACGCGCACAAATTAGGCAACCCATCACTGCAGTCAAATCACCAGTTCCAAGTTGTGCGTGCAATAACCCACGAGTCATTAGTTTCCTGAGGAGCTCCTGCACTATAACTAGATTTAGAGAAAGGGTTATAATAACTTGTGTGTATATATTATACATACATCATGTTTTACTAGTTTCAGAGATCTGACAGTAACGGACTGGGAAAGAGTGTTAGCATCTTGTTTCCACCCCTAAAATTGTAATATTATTCTGCAGAGCAGAGCATGTATATAGCATTTCCCTTTGACCAAAAATAAGATACCTCATTTATCAACGAGAAAATAGGACCTGGAATTATTTTATATCGTGGTTAGTTACATGACAATAGCTACGCATGCGTCTGGTACAATGGGTTTACAAGCCACAGCCGCCTGGTTGTAAAAAGAGAGCAATAGGACTAAGTATCCATTACCCTATGAATCCTGGAGAGGTTGTTACTTCACCACAATAGTATAGTTCCACGTATATCCATTAATGGATCTATAATTCACCTTTGCCTGGCTCATGACTTAAAGAGAGTAATAGTGTGTGGTGACAGTATGACACACATTTCATAAAAGGATACCAGTTAATCCATGAGGACATGGCTTGCCATTATTCACACCCACGATGTACAATACATACCCAGTCCCCAATATGGTAGCTACATACTATAGTTCACAGTTGCTTGGCTCCAGAGAGTAACACATGTCCAGGAAAGGAAGCTCTTTGTGGGTATATACACAGAAGCGTACAAGGTTGCGCAAACATGTCGCAGTACACAAGTAATGCTAGTTATACACCCCTCAGAGTTGGCAGCAGTTTTGAAAGCAAACACGTTGTCTTGTGTAACTGAACAGCAGGGATGCTCCTCTTTAGACATGTGTTTTGCAATGCACATCTGTATTCTACCCCATGGGTGGCTTTAGACGTCTCTCTTTGGAGGTCTTATTAGTCTAATGCGAACCTATAATTAGGACACACATTGTGTAGCTACAGCTGGGACCTGACGGCAGTAGTAAAAATCGGGATGTTTACCAGGAGAACTATGCAGATGTTTGACATTCCTCTGTGTCCGTGTGTCATAGTGCGGCACATTTTAACTGTAATCCAATACCCTGAGTGCTCAATAATAACTAAGAGAGGAATCAAGATCATCGTTTTTTATGACAGGAATTTCCCTATTTTGACAAATCTAGTGTCAATATTATGTTTCCGCAATTTTTTTGAGGAAAAGATCACACGCATGACGCACATTGAGAAGAGATGTGTACAAAACTTATAGTCAGTTGGAACAGGGTGATACTGACTGCATGATACTGTATTTTACCTCATGTACACACAAAGTTTGTTATGCACAGAACAGCACACGGACATACTCACACACAAAGGGAACAAAGATAGAATTTTGTGTAGCTACAAAGGTGCCATCATCTGTTGACTAGGAGTGCACACTTGTGCACTCTCTCAAGTGTTCTCCTAACACGTGCATCAAACTCTGCCTGATACTGTGTCTTCCATTTTCGGACTGCAGTGAATGACTGCAGATCGACTTCCCGTATATAGTTCTCTAGGTGAGCGCTCGGCGAAAGCGAACCTCTGTCATTGTAGGCACTGCTGCCAAGTGTCATAAGTGAGCTAATGGTTGGCCTTCGAAACACGCAGATCCGGTCCAAGAAATTGATTTGCAGTTGATGGTACTCCTCCTTCTTCTCGGCTGCAATGTATCCAAACTCGAACCCAGATTCGTTGTCCAGGAGTACGAGGTCAGAGGTCTTTGCCGTCTTTTTCAGATTGTGCACCGGTTTTTCCATCATGTGGGAGTTCCATTTTGAGTTTAGAAGGGCATTGAAGAGTCGGTCATTGTGACCGATAATGTAGTCGAACAGAATCATATCTGTCCATTGCATTAGTCTTTCAATGCTATGTGCACTACTTAGAGTTAGTGGTAGAGATGCAGACGTGTTCAGTAGTTCAGGGGGGAAGTATTCGTCTTGAAGATCGTCGACGACTTGCGAAGCGATGATGCTCACCCCGTTCTTCCAACCAGCCTCCTCCGCTGCCTGGGTTACGTTCCGCCACTGCTTTCCCGTCAGATCGAGTTTGACGGCGACGGTTGCTGGAACGTTCCACATCCCTAGGATACGGTTGAAGTGGTAGGCGTAGAGATCGCCTCGGAGCTGGTTTCACTCTCG